ATTCCTAATGGATATGCCTGCCTGCCTAACAATTAATATAGGCTCGAAGGCTGGTCATTTTCAAGATTCAAATATTGAAAATTCTTGAAAACCATGTTTCCTAAACTAGTTATTTACAGCTATATATACATGTATAGAGGCTGATCATAGGGCACAAGTTCTTAGTTTCCTCACTTATATTCTCAGCCTCACTAGGTCATCATCTCCCGAATACCAAGGTTTTCGAAGATGGCAGACTTTGCGCTGGCTCAAAATACAAAAGATAAGATCCGTGAACTGAAGGGTAAGGATGTGAAGCTCGTAGGCCGATTGTTTTTGAAGTTCCAACGTGACATATGCAGTGAGTATCTGATGATACCCCAGGCACTGCTGCTCAGCCTCATTCTCCATTCCAAGGAGAAGGAAAAGCTGGCCAATGACGGAGATTCCATCCCCGTAAAGCTTATAGAGCCTGAGGGCTTTACTAGCTTGATCAAGCTGGTCAAGAAGGGAAATGGGATGTATGTTTTTGGTTCTCAGGACGAATGGAGAAATGTTGTTTCCCGCAACCGCTTTAGGGTTGAGGTTCCTGTTGACCTTTGGTCCTTTCTGGATGGTGAGTCCACACGATTTTTTGTTATGCAGTACGTGCATGGGCTCAATAACCAGGCTACTGCTAATACTGTTACCGTCATAGACTAAGATTAAGTGTCTTCACTATGGCTTTTGATGTGCACCGTTTTCTTCCTAAAGTTCTAGCTTTGTTTAAGATGATGTTTTACTATTATGCAATAAGCACTTGGCCGATCTTTTGTTGTTTGGTTCATCCCGTTGTTATTAAGTATTATACTCTTATGTCATAATGAATTTTCAGTTAATTTTGAGTTTCTGTTGTTGATTAACCTTATGTCAAGCATGATTGTTTCGACTTTACATGTACCTTTTTGTCCGATGGCAAGCTTACAATAACAATGTGTTTGGATGAACAAATTGGATTCAATAATTGGGAAAAAGTTATGACAATCAATAATTTCCTTGTTTGGTATCCTCAAAAGGAAAATTTGAAATGGAATGGGCAACAAATTTGAAGCTTGGATTAGATCATAAACTCCGCCTACAAATCTTGAACACATGAGATCTCGAGTTCCGAGTTAAATATTATTAATAATTAACTACTTAAACTACAAGTCATTTTTCACGTAAAAATTCAATAAAGTCAATAAATCAAATTGGCATATCGTATGTAAGGAAGTTGGAAATATGCTATGCATCAAGCTTCGTTAATTAATTCTCGCCGTGCATGGAAAAGCCTAAATAAAAATAAATAAATAAATAAAACACATTTGTGATGCCCGGATCCCGCCAAAGACATTATTAGATTCGTTAGAACTCCATTAGCCCTAATCCCCTAGTCAAATCAAAACAAAGTTCGCCTCATAATTTTGCCATTAACACAAATTTAACATATGATAGGAACTAGTTCACATGCAGGGCACCGAGGGCTCTGATAACATATAAATATAACTCAAGAGAGAGAAAAGGGGAATTTGAGAAGAAGATTTGTATTGTATTAACTAAAATAAACATTTGTTACAAGATGAGCAAACCACTAGCTCAATGAGTAACTAAAATAATTATGCAAGTCAAATAAATCTTATATTTTATTAACACATACACAAACTTGAAAATATATTATATATACCGCACAGAGTCACAAATTCAATTACTTGCACAACTAGAAAATGGAGGCATAAGCCACAGTTGGCCTAGCCACAACAAATCAATAGTGTGGCCATCGGTAGTGTATGGTCAAGATTACTGTGCATTAGTGACTTATAATATATATATGCCATGGTCAATTTGTGGCCAACATGAATATAAACCACAATCTATCAATTGGCTTATAAAGAGATTTTCTAGTAGTGTTGCGTGAGATGAGATCCAATGGTCAGCTTTATTATTACGCCATTCTAGTATAATCTATTATAAGCATCACTTAGGGGTACTAGCCCATTTAACTTTAATTATTATTATTAGTAATTACGAATATGATTAGATTTGTCTTTACAAAATTATTGCAAATCTTAAACGTCTTTCAAAAATTGAGAAAAGCTCATATCTCCAGTCTTTAAAAGAATCACGGTCTCTCACATGACATCATGAACTTGACATTCTTTGAGTTTCCCAATAATCTAATGAACTGCTGACACTTGAACTAGGCTTCTTTGCATAAGCTTTGTCAAGTATTCTTCTGCAACATCTTCCAATGGTTTCATTCTCTGTTCCTTTATAAAGCCTTCAGTGATCCATTGACGAATTAATCTACCAAATCTGATGCTGCGATTTTTTGGATATGTCCCAAAGTATATGAATTAAGGTTTGAGTTAGTAAGGTAAATCATAATAGATAAAAGAGAATTTTTGTAACATTTGCCAAATGAGATCCTCTAGTAAGATTCCTCCATAATCCAAAAATGAAATATCTCTATCATTCTTGTTCTTGCTCCCAAACTTGAATTAGAGACCATCTATTGAAGTAGAGTACAAAATAACAAATCGTCCCGGAGTATAAGCCCATTTAACTTTGATTATTATTATTAGTCCTTGCGAATATGATTAGATTTGTCTTCACAAAATTATTGCGAATCTTGAATCTTCTTTTTAAAATTGAGAAAAGCTCACATCTCTTGTCATTAAAAGGATCATGGCCTCCCGCATAACATCATGGACTTGACATTCTTGGAGTTTCTGTGAGAATCTGTATTCTTAAAAAGTTTTTAAAGAAGATTAAACATTGTTTTAAATATATATATATATATAGTTTTTACAATACTATTCTAAATAAATATTTGTACTTAGTATATATATATATTCAACTATAAATTATATATTTAATTTGTTTTTCTTTAAAATGGGCACCCTTAGATATTTTGGGTATTTAATGGTATATATTTAGAATAATATTCAATTATTAGAATTGTGATATTTATCTTCTATGTGTTAAGAAGCTACGATCTAATAATAGTTTTAATTCATGAACTTATGAGAGTTGGGCTTAGGAAACTCAAACACTTCATCTCTTGCATGCAACCGCTTGACTTTGATTGTTGTATAGTTGGCAACTTTACTTTTCCTTGCCTACTAAGTTAATCAACGTGTGGAAGAACACTTGCTTTGCAGCACACTAAGGCCTACAAGTGTATTGTGACTAAGCAACATTACCATGTGTTGTTGTAATTGTAGAAAAAGTTATCCTTACTTGGTGCAAATCAACATGCAGCCAATGAAAGCATAGGAGAGTTGCCGCCATCTTCTTAGTATAAATAGGGTCATCACTATTTGTTTTCAGGCATAGTTGTGCTTGACAAAAGAAAAGAAATTGAAATAAAGAGAGTGAGATAGAAGAGAGGAAAGAAAACAAGAGAAAGCAAGTGGTGATCAAATTCTCAGGAGGAATTAGAGGTCATAGCTTGTGTGTTTTCTTAACTTGGAGCTAGCTTTTGAAACGAGGTAGGGGTTTCTTGGGGGCCTTCTGCAAAGATTGATTTAATTAAATTTTGTGAACAATATATTATGCGTGATATGATTATTTGGTTAATATTCTTGTTACAATTGAATGTTATTCTTGGAATGTTTATGTGTTCTTGATTGGTTGAACAATGTTGGTACATTGGTGATATTTTAAATAGCTACATTGTTGTGGGATATATAGATATGTGAAATGCATAATTATATCATGTCATGAAAATTAGTTGGAGATGTTGGTTGGAGATAATAATGATGAAAAATAGGGTAATGGATATAGTCTTTTGTGTAGTTGAGTCTAACTCTTGGCAGGTACCAGGTCTCAGGGATCCCACAGTGCACATGGTTTTTATTGGGTGATTTGAGACTGGCGAAAGGGAGTTAGGCAAGATGACTAACAAAAGGGGGAATTATGGGACGGTTGAAATGGGTGTTAGTTCATATAAATGGGCATCCGGGACCAAGTGATATAAGCATGGTATGGGACGTGCAGGTCTACTTGTCCAGTTATATGAATTAACGGGATTAGATGAAGAGCATTCATGCATTATTATTAATAATGTGATATTTGGCTGTGTGATTGTTTGTCACTTAATTTAAGTATATCAATTTCATGTAAAAAGGTTTATGTCCCTACTGAGCTGTGGTTTCGCTCACCCCCTAATAGATTTTGCAGGTATCGAACCTAAAAGCTAGAGCTTGTGATGATTTTGGCATATTTATAAGAGTGTACTGTGTACATAGCTCGTGGATAAATAATGAGTTACTCTTTTAGTAAACTCTTTAGTAGTTCTGACTTGTAAAATAATATAACTATTTCAAGCTTTCAGATGTTGTTGTTTCGAATATTCTATGTGAAATATTTACTTTATTTATTTAAATGTTTCTTCACATTTTAGTTATAGTTTTT